CGTGTATAGCCACGATGTGTGTGATCTTGAAGCGTTCTAGCTGAGAAGAATCCTTTGAATCCCGGTAATTGCCTACGTACAGACCGGGAAGCACCTGAAACACAACACATTATATTTCGTGCTGAGGCTGAAATGCGATAAACTGTTCTGAATATCTCATTTCTTATGCAAAGTCAAATTGTCGTTGTGCGTACGCGTTGTCATGAAGGCGAAAAGAAGCAGTGGAGATAAAGTTCGACATTGAATAGGAGGCTGGGTCGGTCGCAGAGCCGGTTTCAACACACTGGTGAACTGTAAAATCTCTGCTACTTCGGGGAATCGAATCGTGGTCGTACGGTTCGTAGCCAGTCGCCTTCATGACTGGTCAAAAACGAATCATCTGTTGCTTATGAATAACGCTGATGAGGTGAATTAATTTGATTTTTGTAGTTTGTGCATTTTAGTTAAATAACACTAATTCATTTTCCACGCATTAACTTCGGTACTGGACTGAGCTTCACACTCCCCTTCAGGAAAAGCCTTCCGGTGACCATTGAAAATGGAACATGGGGCTAAGAGCCAATCTGGATACGTTGGTGGCGAAGAACAGTTTTTGTTTGCACATGCCAGGGTATAAGCTACGGACTTTAAATATCTCAATAATCAATTCTCATGTGGACACCCGTGACTTTGTAACATTCCCATCCGCATGCCAAATTCCTCACGAGTCACATGTAATATCGCTCTGCATTTTCCTTTGGTACCATGAAAACGAAATGCATAAGAAGTGTGAGATGTGTTGAGAAACGTAGACAATAGCTTTCATGCTATACCTTGAAAAAAGACACGAGAGGAGAGACGCCCCATGGACAGAAATTTGTACAATAAAATCTATATGAAAACGAAAATGTCAGTCTTGGGGTCCCTGATTCAAACGTGAATGAGAAAGTCGAGTGGGCCCACTGCAAATTTTTATGTTAGTGATTGTGCACATTTCGAAAATTAACGTCCCCACTACTTATCAGACTGTACTTGATTGTTTTCCGGCCTCCGATCAAAGATAACGACCCATCCTACAAAGACAAGAGCCACTGTTGACATTATGACATTATGACGTGTTATATTAAACGATTAAAGAAGTGTAACTGCGAGCATGTAATTATGGTTTTTACAGGTTGCAAGTCTGGCAACGAGCCACTAATGGCTCCTGAACTTCCCATCCGCCATTATAGAGAGCGGCCACTGTCTCTCACCTTCATATTGTTAAATCTGTCTTTTACAAACGAGGTTCAGAGTAGTATCTGAGGTTCTCACCACGATGAGGTTGTGTCGATTGTCATGAACACAACATTTATGAATATTAGACAATGCGCCTATCACGAGAACCTAGCATTGTCTGTAGCGTGTGGGGGTTTTGGATGAGGAGAGGCACGGAAGAAGTCTTGCGCCGTCCTTTTGCTTATTCCCCAACCTGTAAAAACGACCCGATTTTGGGTTCCGTGGATCAAGACGTAATACAGGGTTGATAATCACTGTGTGGAGAGTTAATTTGTCTTAATATATCCGAAAGTGGATAGAAAATGCAATAGTGGAGATAGCAAGTAAATTAGGAAGGAAGAAAGAAAGAATAAACAAGAGTTGACGGAACGAAAGGAATAAGAGAAGAAAGACACGTTAGGAATTCATATGCTTTCGCTTTGTTACTGGCTCGAGATTTTCAAATTTCTGAACGCCAAGTTGTGATGCTGTTTTATACGTGGCGTAAACAGGCAAGGCGGGCCGGCAAAGGTTTCCAATATAAAATTTGATCAAAATCAGTCCAAAGTTTCTATAGTTACGAGATGATACAGTATAAAAAATCTCGTTTGTTTCATTATCCCGAAACCCGCAAGACTCAACTGAAAAAGGACACATGTGGGTTCACTTTTCTCTACTTCTGTTCGAAATACCTTCTTCTCTGTTAAAACATGTAGCAAGTTACGCTCGAGATGCGCACAGAAACGCAAGTTGATCTTCATGTAGTGTCCGTCATTGTTTAGCCGAAATTGAAATGTACCAGCACATTTTAGTAAAATTCCCAGCATCAAATTTCATTTTAGTGGTTCTCGCGCTGTTGTATGCGGACAGACAGACACACGACGGAGCTAACAGATGCCAATGTGCCAGAAAGAAGAAAAGGAAGGAAGGAGAAAAATAAAGGAAGAATGAACAAAGAAAGGGAGACACAGAGAAATGAAGGAAGGGAGGAATGAAGATGTATGGACCTTGGTCCAGATCCGTACTCTAATTCTTTCCATGTGATCATTTATCCGTAGCATGTCATTTCGTGGCTCTGTAACAAACAAGCAAGACCCACAGTGGTGCAGGCAACATGTGTCAGGTTTCAATATTCAGTTTTCCTGTCGGTGAAATCCGCAAGTTTGTAGGACTCCTCACTTCCTAATCTTAGTTAAGCGAACCTTGACCTGGAAAGACAGATGAAAGTCGCGTTCGGTGAAGGCAGACACTCTGGAACCATGTCAGACGAGGCCATTGGCGACAAACAAAGATTTCGGTGTCGAAAGGATGTAAATCTATTTTTACAAACTTCTGAGAGACATAAACTGATTAATGATGAAAATTTATGTTTTAACTGACTCAGTAACTTTTCTAGCTGATTCACTGTATGAACTTCTTACTGAAGCATGTCGCGTGGCTATTAAATCATGTAGCAGTTTTTTTCGGAAATACAGCTTTTTTACATCAAATTCGTCATCTGTCATTGTATCAGCCAAAATGAGACTGAGTAAGAGAGAGACGAAGAGGCCTCCCTTTGTCTTTACAGACCAGAATAATGCATGTGATTGCATGCCCTCTGTAATCCGGCCAGTTAATATAATCTCCAGTAAAGACACCGTATTGCATGGTCATAAATTCTGTTCTGTTGCTAGATAAACTAACAGATACCAGAGATTTTACCCTGCATAAAGGTTTGTTTGTGGTTTATTTTTCAATGTTATCAGTAGTTCAGACTACATAGCATCTAATGATGGGATGATGAATAAATAATGAATTGGAAAGAGAAGGAAGCGGTCTTGTCTATTTTAATGTACTATCCCTGTTATTGGAGGAAGCAAGCACATCCGAAACGTCAGTAAACTTCTGCCAGATTACACGGTGCAACAACTCAGAAGACAGCCATCTTTATTGAAATTATTGTTATTATTATTAATTCCATGGGCAAGAGTCTTTGATAAGTTAAAATCGCTGAACTAGTTAATTTCCCCGCCTTCATAGAACCAGAATAGGCATCCAATGTCGATAAGAGACCACCATTTTTTATAAATACTGCTAAACTTAAAGCAACAGTAGTATCCCTGGGTTGTAGCGCCAGACTTCTACCAGACCGACAACACTGCGCTACAACCCAGGAGTCCAACATCGACAGTTTCACCGTCGTGAGAACCTCATCTCACAAGTTTCTGAAAGTACGTTCTTTTGGAGCTCGTGTTTTGCATACTGCGGTATCTGAAGTACGAGGAAAGTAAAAGACTGACTCAGGTGTCTTGTCTGTCCCTCAGCTTGATGTGTCTGTACTGATAATGAAATCAAGAGGAACATTGACATTGGCACGTTCTTTTATTTGTTTCGTATTTATCTGAAATTGATTTTATGTGCTGTTGTCAAGCACATTAACATATTACTTGCATCAGTTTAAGAACTGTTAATTTCCCCGTGTCGAGAGCGAACTTCAGTTTTACATCAAATGATTAAAATTCTGGTAATAATTGATCGTTTTGCGATTTATGTGGTGCAGTAGTACAGATTGTGTGTAAATACTTATCTAGCTTTAATAATTACTGGTGCAGCGTATACTTCTGCACGGTACTGTTTGTGCTACTACAGTTACCCAGCACGTTGTCATCGTGCAGACGATATGCTGTCAAGAGAAAGAGAGCAAGAAATGTGTGTGGCATAGCTGAAGGAACGAAACACCTCTCATGACAACAAAAATCTAAGAATTGACCTTATATGGGAGAGACGTGGTTACTGACCTTGTTCATGCCATTGCCCATGGCTGCTCCGCTCTGCGGCGTGTTCACATGTCGACTGAGGCCCGCAACCTGCCGGCCGGCAGGGGCCGATCGATATGACCCGACCCAATTGAGGGGGAGAGGGAGAAATCACAGTTCCGATTTGTGCTTGCACACCATCTGGCCGCGTTATTTGCAGTTTTAAAATAGCTCCACACTACGTATGATTGCTGAGCGGACTAATTCGTTAATTACATGGGGACCTTGATTGAATTCAAGATGTCAAGCCCGAGAGATCTGAGAACCCCGGTTAATTCGGAAATGAGATTTCTTGATACCAAATGATCATCAGCGGTAGAACTAAAACTGAATTTAGAAATCTAACGGCAGGTTTGAGCCGCCCACAGTAGTCGCTGTCCAGGACGCAAGGTCCTCAACCGCTACAATACTAGGATAGTGGTTTCTAATTCCTACCGATAAACCATTTCATGTCCGCATTCTTCTGCGTTGTGTGATCCTGTCTCTTGCGATGAACCTGTCCAGGAATTTGCTGTAGCCTTTTGGAAACCACATAATAGCTCAGGAAGATGGTTTGATTTTAATTAAATATTGAGAGTATCTGAAAATCGATTCAAATATTTTAATCGACTTATGTATCACATGTTCTAGATACGGGTGTTTGGGCATGTTTTTATGTTGCGTTGTAAATGTTTAAACCTATTGTTCATCCCCTCTCTTATTATTATTTCTTCGTCTCAAAATTAATTCGGCCCGAATAGGACAACAGACCGAATTAATGAACACAGAAGAAGGTGGGTTATAGGATCACAAAAGAAAACAAATTACTATTTTGCGATGAGTTTATTGTTCATGTTGTTTATGTGGCTTACAGATCAGCATCAGACCCAGCATCACCAGTGTAGCACCGCCCCACCACAACAAAGTGGTCGCTTCTCCGAATACAAGACGGCCCAGCAGTGCCTGCAACATTGTTATATTTAATATACTGCAGACAAGAATATGACACGAAATAATGAAAACGGTGACCCTTTTCAGACTTATTACAGGAGACTTTAAGATTGTAGTGAGGCCTCAATGATAATGGATACCTGTTGTAGGGTTGCAGTATAATTTTTTGTATAATCATCAGGCACAGAATTATTTACATTTTGTCGTCGCTTATATCTGGATTTTTCCGGTCAGCTCCATGAAATTTTTGTTGCTGTCAGGTTGCTGATAATGTTCTGCTGCTTTATTGGTTGATGGATGCTGACGGAATACCATCAACTTCACCGTCTCCAGATCTTGCCATCTCGCGCCGAACTGTCTTCCTCGTCGTTGGCAGCGAGTACTTGATACACTCGGCGACTACTTTTAAGGTTGCTAGTCTTAATGCAAGAATTCTAATTTAACTCACAATGATTTTTTTTAATCACAATCGAATTTTTCGAGGATTAATGAATGAAAAAACGGTCATTCCGTAATGTGCCTTTTTTCTTGCCTACTATACCTCCACCCATTCACACCTACCTGATCTGACTACGCCAATCGGAGGAGTATATCGTGCCCGTTCATATGTATATTTTGAACTTTCTTCAATATAACGTATTTGCCCCCCCCCAAAAAAAAAAAAAAAAATTGTTGCCAAGACTTCTGAAGTAACCCTCGTATAATGTAACGTACCGAGCTGACATAGTTCACTGCAGTGCTGGTGACGGTGGGCGGTAAGGACGAGGGTGATTGTTGTAGTGCCTTAACAAAACATGTCCACACCCCCGCGTTGCAGACCACCATGAGCACAATTAGCGATGTATTTATTGCCAATCCCACCTATAACAAGAGTAAACACATATGAAATCGAAGCAAAAATCTAATTCTAATCTAGCTCAGCAAGGCTTACTTTAGCCTTTGCACTATTGCAGTAGTAAATGTGAGTACTGAAATGAACCACGCTTGGGTGGCATGTTCATATAATATCTGTTGTCCTTTCTCTGCCAACATCTAAGTCATTGTTCTTCCCCGAACAATTTTACATTGCCTATGTGTAGTTAACGACGTAGTCGAACTGTATTCAGTACTGGAAAATAGCGCAGGAACAAAGAGCGCCTTTTGGAATTTTCCCGAGGCACATACTGGCTGACCAGTATTTGAAGTTTATAATTAAACTGAACACATGTCGTTTTATGTAAATCTGTCAATAGTCAATAGGGGCCGAGGCGTAAGTAGTCATGTTTTTGTCGCAAAATATCTGCACCGACAGACGAATAAGGTTGGTGATTCCAACAGCAAAATCCCTTCTTGAATTTGTGAATTTTAATAGTAAAATACACGTATATATACCGAATTTTTCCAGCCCTCCTCACAATTGCTGAAAGCACATTATTTGCTGCTCTGTATGTATGTGGAACACGTACGCCTACGAACAAACAAATTCATAACGCTTACTGATGCAGCAACTGCACATAATGTGATGTCTACAACCAAGGGCTGAGATACACACAAACCTATTCGCTGGGAAGTCGGTAATCATTCCTTCAGTAGTATATTGAGAATGGAACAAAGAAATCTATTTCCAAGCTCAGTAAGAATTCATTGCGGTTATACAATGGTACTGACACATGTTGAATAATCCTGTATTCTGGACAACTTCCCAAACAAACTTGATGCAGCAGCACACAGTCCTGCAGTGACAGCATGATTAACTCTTCCCCGAGGATTTACTGGCATTCCAATATCCAAAATGTATTGTTGTTTTCGATCACTAGTTGGTTCAAATACTATAACATGTTATTCTTGTTTGCAAAATACGCCACTAGAACATACCACGTTAAATACCTTACTCTCACAGATCACCGATCTCTACTGATTTTCCTGCCGTCAAGCGGTAATATTGCTAAGCAAGTAATGACACACTTGCGGGGAAAGATTTGGAACTCGGTGACCTGTTTTTAATTTATTGAGATTGTGACACAGTACAAGGCAAATCCTTTATAGTAACGGTTTTGTTATGTAAAATTTATTACCTGTCTTACATGAACATTTTATAAGAGTTTTGTGTTTGGAAAATAGTTTTAGTGAATATGTTAGGATCAGTTTTTCATAATAATAATAATTTGAAAACCTTGGACATGGCAACCGGTGGTACGTTTATGGATTATTTCCGTGTAAAAATCATTGATGTTGGACTACTAAAACTGGATTTTTCCGATATAGCAGTCTTGTGTTGTGTGGATATGTGTGGAGTGAAAAGATGTGTTCTGTCCTGTGTGTCCGAACTCAAGTCAACTTAAAAACAAGGAAATGGAGATAAATGCCTCTTATTCCTGATCTCGTCCAAGGTTCCTCAGGAGGTAGGTAAACAGATTGCAACCATGGTTCTTATATCACTGTAAAAGGGTGTGGATATTAAATGATAACACTTTTATCACGTTACGTACGTGTCATTGGATAAATTCGGTTTAATTGTGAGAATGACAGGATTTCCAGTTTTAGTTTTGATAAGATAACAAGCTAGTGTGGTGTCATGATTTACAAGATTTGAAGAGAAGTGACATTTGGCAAAGTAGATGTATCGTGCTTAAGCACTGTGTAACCGTAGTCTTTTAGATAAATAGTGGCCCTGTAACAAGTTGAAATTTCAGTACCAAAGCCTGACAAAAATGGAGCATGCGGATCTTGTGGCCGAAATGGCTCATGTGGAGCACTTGAGCACCCAGGAACGTCTTCACCTGGCACGCCGTCGACGCTTGCAGCAACTCAAAGCTTGGACACAACGAGAGAAAAAATGGTCAGGAAGTAAAGTTCCCAAGTCGAACAAACACATATACTTCAGTGACAGTGTTATGCTTTTGGAAGCTGCTGCTAGGAATGACATTGATGAAGGTAAGTTCAATTACAGTCATGTTGTGCCACTTAATTTGTGTTCTGTGATGATAAGTCTCAGTTACTTTTGGAGCATACATTTTGATATATTTAGGCAGTATACTTAATGAATTTTAGTTCTGGGACCAGCATTATTGTGTGATGTTGACTTGCAGTTAATTTTGAATTTCGCTTTTATTTGCAATTACAAACTCTAACATAACTGTTCTAACCTAAGTCCCTTAACCTGTTACTGAATTAGGGTTATCTTACCATTATTAGTTTAACACAGCCTTACTATACTAATGTGAAAGGAAATTCAGTGGGAAATGATTGATTTTGTATCTCTCATATTTTTTCTATCCCTTCCACATTTCTCTTTAGATTTTCTTTAAACTTCTTGTTAACAGTAATAATGATATCTATAATTAAAGGAATTTACCTGCAGAACTTCTGTGCCTTGAAGTATAATGTGAGCAAAAGAGGCATAAATAACTGTTTATCATTTGTATAATATTAATTTTGCTTTGCAGTGAGGCGGTTATTAGTGAAGGGTGTTAGTCCTGATTCTACTAATGAAGATGGTTTAACTGCTCTACATCAGGTATGTATGAGGTTGGTTTCATAGTGAGATTTCTTGAGTTTATGTATTGCTGGTCCATGAGGGTGAGAAGAATTCATATATGTCTTATATACTGTATTTATCTGAATATAATACAGAGTGACCACAAATTGAAGTACATTTTTAAACTTGATGTGGCTTTCACAGGTGACGTGGAACATGTCCCATATTATACACAGCATATCTTCATCATAACCACATCACAGATTCTGTCTCACAGTTCTTTTAAGGATTGTGGCTGAGGACGAACATAAATGTAGCCTTAGAAATGAAAATCAAGGAGTGTGAGTTTGGATGAACGTCATGGCCACCTGATAGGTCTTCTTTGGCAAACCCACTTGTTTGGGATTGTGGCATCAAGGAAAGATGTGATCCTGTAGTGATTATGCAGTTGAGTGCTTTTCTGTTAGAACAGGATGCTATTGTGGTGTCCTGCTGCAGCTGAGATATAAGGAACAGCTTTAGTATGTGTACTTGCAAGATCCCAGTCACTGCTTTCTTGTCGTAGAAAAATGGTCCATAAATCTCTTGAAGACTCAGTGCACAAGAGACATTCATTTTCAGACTTGTAATGATGTGTTGCTATGACTGAATGTGATTCGCATCCCCATATCGATACGCTATGTCTGTTTACTATCCCATTTATGTGAAATGTTGCTTCATCACTAAAGACATATTTTCCAAGGAAGTCTTTTATCTTCATCCAAGTGGTTTAACATTGTTAAAAAAGTTGTATTTTCTTCATTTGCTACCTTCTGCCAGAGGGTATAACATCTGAATCCTATATGGCTTCGTAAGCCATTTTATCAGAGCCTTATGGACTGTGCTTTTAGGAATTCCAAGCTCCCATGCTCACTTTGCATATGTGGACTACAACAGTACGACATTCGCTGCACATCATTGCCTGCCTGACTTTGCACTTCAGCTTGATGATGCTTCAGCAGTGTGGCCAGTCATACAGTAAAAGTATTCCAATATTGCCCTTACTTTTTAATGTTGTCTGTAATTAGCTGTTCTTTTGTTGTCAGTGCTGTATTGATGACAATGAAGAAATGATGAAGCTTCTAATTGAATATGGTGCAAATGTAAATGCAGAAGACAGTGAAAAATGGACTCCTCTTCATGCAGCTGCTACATGTGGCCATCTGCACCTTGTTCGGTACCTCATCAGTCGGTAAGAAGTGTTTCTTGGCAGAACTTGCTGTTTGAAGAATGTACTGTTTGTATTATTATCCCATATGTTTGTGATAGGCTGTGGGACATACATACACTTTATCATTATCCCTATAATGCATAAGATTTCTTGCCATCTTATGATTTACAATTGTAGTGAATGTAATTATATTAGGTTTAAAACATACTTGGTTGCATAATTTCAAATTGTTTTCTCAACATATGTAGTTGTAAGGTTCCTTTATGTCACCATAGCTACAAATACATATGTTCATGTATAATCTGAAGTACTCGACAGATGTCCTAAAATTGAGCAAATGTAAGGCAGTGTATATGGACTTTAACAGAAGCAAAATTATAAAACTTACATTTACATCTATACTCTATTCATTCTAATTCAGTTTTGCATGTAACTGAATCTCATGGTGTGGTTGTAACAGTTGTTCATATTTTGGTGGTCACAGGTTGCAATTTTGGATCAGATACATTGTTATGACTGGGGTTTTGTATTTATTCACTCCAGACAAATGCTGAGGTGATTTCTTACAGTAGGCCACAACTGCTTTTATTTTGTACTGAATTCATCACTTGTGTTCAGCTTAATGTTTGAAGATATATTACCTGTGAAGTTTAGAATTCAGAAAGTGTTATTAAACAAATCAAGACACAAACAAACATTTACACACTTATTTATCAGAGGGTCAAATTAGTATTGACGGAGTTGCAGAGGTTCCAACCTGCTGGCTGTGAATGCAGATGGGAACATGCCATATGATATCTGTGAAGACGAGGCAGCACTGGACTATATTGAAGGTGAAATGGCTCGTCGTGGAGTTACTCAAGAGCTGATAGATGAGACACGGGCTTCAACAGAGCTGCAGATGTTGAGAGACCTTCACCAGATGGCAGCAGAGGGTAGGGATATAGAAGCATATGATCATCAGGGAGCTACACCAGTAAGTGGCATTATGATTCTGTGAATAAATGTTTGTTTGGTGTTTCTGAATCCTTTAATGAAGGCTCAGTTTCACTGAACATAATCAGTTATGATCATGCAGGTTGTTGTAAATTACTTTTCCATCATATTTAGCATTATAACCTTTGCAGGTCAAAGATTGTTAAATAACCTAACTTTAACCTATTGCTCAGGGAGTAGTGTTTTTTAATGACAATAATAGCCAAGGAAGCTATTTATGTTTGTAAAATTTACAAGTTATTATTCAGTTGATGATTTACTGGATAGCTTAAACTTTCATCTACTGTTTGGTTTAAGTTTTGCCCATGTGGTTAAAAATGTTGTAACAGAAAAAAATTATTGAAACATGTTTGTGCAAGAGGTTCTGTATGTGTTTACAACAAAAATTGAACTTTATTACAGCAGTTTCATGCCATTCTTTTAAATTTTTATTACACCCATTAAGGCTCCAGAAAGACACTTGCCATAAGTGAGTTATTGGAGAGTGTTGGTAAGTACATGCCAATGTAGTTTTACTAGCCAAGGACAGGGACCGGGTTCCCTAAGCCGTCTAGTTAGTTTAGTTGGTAAGTACATATTTAGGTGAATGAATTTTGTTAATTGGTTAAGTGATATAAGCTGTGTTTCTGGAGCTCTAATGCAAGTCTTATTTTACAAAAGAGGTGTTCTTTTATTAGACTTTCCCCATTATGTATTTGTGCTTCAATTAAGATTACACTAAGTTTTATTGACAGAACTTAATTGTAAGTACAGTGTTATAATTATAATGATTTTATGAATGTGTTTGTCTTTGTGACACAGCTTCACATTGCAGCAGCAAATGGCTATTTGAGGGTTGTGGAGTTCCTTCTAGATCACAACGTTGCGACCAACGTGAAAGACAATGATGACTGGCAACCAGTGCATGCTGCAGCTTGCTGGGGACATGTAAGTGTTCTTGCAGACAGGACAAATAGCACACATTAATGAAAGACAAATGGTTTGAGGGACAATAATATTAAAATGAATCTTATAGAAATTAGTTGTGTTGTACATTGGATTGAACTGATTTATATGGTCCAGTAGTGGACTTTTGTGGTAGTGATATTCCTAGGACTAACACTAACACTAGAGAATATTTTGAATGCTTGAATAAGTGTTGGTTGCTCATTGAAGACTGTTTGCCATGGAGTTTCAAACACATAAAGAAATAAATTATATTAAACTCTGTATGGTCTTCTCATCCAAATTATTTGTGTGCGATGCTCATTATTCAGTTCTATGTATTTGTGGGTTTTTTTAACACTGTACTCTTGATAAGTAATAAGCTAAATCACATGCTTTATTTTATCACCCAGAAAAAGTCAAAATTAAATCATTTTGCAACTCTGAAATCATTATTGAGGTGCAATTTGTGTACGAAAATATATGACGTAAACTTCACTTATGAGTGCTGCTTTTCTGAAGTTGTGTGTAGTGATTGTGTGATACATGGCCAGTAAGCACAGAGTTTTACATCACTTTTGAGCAATTTTAATAGGTGCATTTGATGGAAGTGTCAGGCTACAGTGCATAAGACATCCTAGGGATAGTCTCAGTCAAATGGAATGCCCTAATGAAGCTTTCTGGATTAATGTTTATAAAAATCTTAAATTGTGATTGATATTAATTAAATTTTTTAATTGGGCTTTTGTTTTTCATGCCAGTCCATATTCATCTAGATTCTTCTGGGTATAGAATCACTTTACCATGGTGCAGTAAATGGAAGACTGATTAGTAAATTATTGTAGTTAGGCAATTAATCTTTAAGTTCAGTTATAGGTTTGTGATTTGTCTATCCTGTTGCATAAGGCTGAAGCAGCTGTAATTGTGTTTCAGTTAGAAGTTCTCGAGTTGCTAGTACATCATGGTGCAGACTTGAATGCCAAGACAAAACATGAAGAGACACCTGCTGGTGAGTTATTCATGCCCCAGTTCGATTTAGGAAGTAGTTCTTTATCTTACATTTTTAACCCTTTACTGTGATTATTATGTAGATATATGTGAGGACTCAGAACTGCGGGAACGTATCCTCCAATTACGAAGTGAACAAGAGACAAAGAGACTGCAGGAAACAAAGAAACGTGGTGTGAACCGGTCACAGTCCAACACACGCACACAGTCTGTGCGAAGAACGTCTATACGGGACAAGACAATTATCACGAAGAAAGATGCAGTGGAGGAAGCACGGCGGCTAGCGCAAGAAGTGAGTAGCCATGTTGATATATATATATAGGTAGTTACATTATATTGTACATTGTAGTTTTATGAAAATCTTGGCTGTTTCTATCTTCAGAGTATAAAATCACAAATCAAAATTGTTTGGTCCATTTGTGATAAAGTTACTGTGTTGTATTTCAGGTTTTATTTTTAAGTTTCGGGCTTCATAGGTCACTTTATATTTTGTTATCCCTCAGAATTGCACTAGTTCTGATTTATTTTTTGTAATCCTGGGGTCTCGGGTTCAATTCCCGGCGGTGCCCGAATTTATAACTTGTGTTGGGCAAGGCCATGGTCTAGGCAACACAGAGTTTTTCTCTGGGGGCTTCCCCGGTTTCTCCGTGGCATCCCAACAATTACACAGAAGAAGGCAATGGCAAACCACTTCTGGATCATCTGCCAAGAACGTATATGAACAGGTCCCAGTCCGAGAAAAGGATGGAAGGATCCTGTTCATATGGACCTGTCGTCAGACAGAACACTAAATAAATAATAATACTGACTATTTATGTAATTAAAAGGATCAATATTTAACTGTACGTATTGTCAACAGGTAGAAGGAACTGTTGTTTTAGTTATATTCTTGTCTTCGACCCTCCATACATGACAGTGCCAAGGGACAAATCATTTTTGTGGAAGTCCCAATGGATGATCTAAATCAGAATTTAATTTATGTGTGGTTTTTCATTACAGTGTGGGGATAAGGATTGGTTCTTATTATAAAATATATCAATTAATGTGCCAGAGAAAACACAGATTTGGAAGGCAGTATTTACTGAGAAGTCTTATTAATAAAATGCAGAGATTATACTTGCTGCACAGTTTCTTTTGCATGTATCAAATAGTATTAGATAATAAAATGGGTGAAAACTTGCAGCAAAGATGATGTAGCTTTTTATATATGTCCATGATGTGGAGAAGCCTACTTTTTGTTGTAAAAGTCTCATTTCCAACTTTTAACTGTGGATGTGCTCTCCTGGAGTTTCTGGCCTGGATGAATGCTAGGGTAGTACATTCAAGGCTGCAGCCATTTTACATTTTTAATTAATCATTAACTGTTTCTTATTTTTCTGTGATGAACTTTGCATTAGATTCTGGTTTTTGATTATTATGATGATAATGCTTTTTTAGGAAGAGCTTAAATTATTTTTCAAAGCTTCAGTACTCTATGGTTTGGAATGGAGCTGATAAATCTTGTCATTGTCCCAGGAATTGACATGGGTTGTTGCAGAGAGGGTCTTTGTGACACTGTTCTTTACTATTGGACTTTGTATTGACAATGGAGGATATCAAGGTCCCAGAAGTGATCCAGTCAGCTTACTACAACACTAGCCATAGTAAATATTCTCACAGTCATGTGTATGAAGTACAGTTGTATCTTACTAGATGGGGTTTAGTGGGAAACATTTTTGCTTTATATTTATAAGACATGTTTGAATCTTGTTCCAAAGATCCACTGCCTGGCACATCTCTTTTTGTGGTTTTCCTCAGTCTGTGTGATTATTGAGAGTGTACCTTCAATTTTTTCCACCACCTTCTTATTCCTTACCTACTTATCTTCCATGATCATATGCTGTCTCATTTGATGTTCTGTAGTTCTCTTCAAATAACTGTCCTCATTCCATTTAGGTAAATGCTAGGATAGTATCTTAAACTAGGAGACAGCCACTTCCGTTCACATCCTCTGAATTTGTCAATATCGTTATCCTCCCATTTGATGCTATATAACCTGTAAGTTAAGAAAACTAAGAAAAAGATTATGCTTGCACAGGTATTTGTTGCTCCTGGTGCTGGTGGGAGTGGTAACTCCAGAGTGGAGCCAGCGACCCAGGAGAACATTTCTTCTGCAGATCCTATCTCTAACCCGAAGGATGCAGTAAATGGTGAAGTGGTAGGGACTGACCTGGTGGTGTCGACAGAAAGACGGGCCCCTGAGGGACAAGACAATGATCTGGATGAAGAATTCCATAATGACTCCAAAGCTGCTGCTTTAGGTATTGTAGACACATGCTGAATTTCTGTGACAACAGTTTAAAGGAACCTTTGCCTCATATATAGAAATCCCCATCTATATGGCAAGTTGTTACAAAATCCTCCCTTCATGTATTTTAATATGTTACTGCATTTTATTAGGACAATGGATTGTTCATGTTTTTGAGTTGATTTGTTATACTTCATGTAATTTCTCCATTGCAGGTTTGCCTACAAGTTATGTAACTGGAGGTAATGGTAACATCAACATTCATGTGTCTGTAACAATAAATGCAGGCACACTGGCAGACCTCAAGAAGCAGCGATCTCAGATCCGTAACAGCAGTCCGGATGGAATGGTAACAGGTCTATCACCTGTGTCTTCAGTCGCAAGCAGTCCGATGCCTTCTGTGCAGCGCTTTACTGGAGACACAGATGATGTTGTGGGTGACCCCAGACCCAAACGCTGCTGCAGCATTTCCTGAGTTGTACTTAACTTTTGAGTAGATGAGCTAGTACAAATTGGTACTGTGAATCTTTATTGTTTAAATCCAATGCATGTTATTTATTTCACATTCCATATTTACTTACTTCTCCAGAGGAACGTTTTGCATTGGTGTCTGATACATTCCAGCATTCTGTCTTTCTATACAGTGGGAGGGACCTGTGGTTATTAATTATGGAAGATATTTTTAGCTGTGAAGGCCTGAAAGCCATTAAATTCATTATTTGTTGATTGCCCTTGCTGTATCTTCACAACAGATAGTAGTTCTTGTTGGCACAGTGATTGGTAGTGGATAAGACACATAATGGTTACGGAAAGAGAAATTAAGGAATATTGTTTCTAAAGTAAGTCTGCACAAGTCAGAATACAACTAACACTAACACTAAATACAGACAAAGCAGGCCTGATATGGTCATGTTTCATTACTTATACCACTTAAATGTAAAGAAGAATATTTTATATTGAAGCTGTAATTATTACAGGCCTGAAATCCTGCAAGGTGGTATGTGTCAGTACATTCACTTCTAACCTTATTAAATGCCAGTGTGCAATTATTCAGCTTTTCATTTCCCACAAATTTATGAAAGTGAAGATATATCATTTCTGCACAAAACTTATGATGATCCTTTTGATAATGATGCTCTGTTCTCCATTTCTTATGCAAAACTGAAACTGAAAATCTTGCCATTTAGTCTTCAGGCTCTCACACATGTAGTGTTCCACATTACTTTGTAACTTTATGAGATTAGAAAAGACTGCAGGCTATCTTGTACTGAATTAACACAAACATTTGTGTCACTTTGTCAGTTAAAGGCTTGAGAATTTGGTTGGTGAAGCAGAGCCTCCTATTTGCCAGACTGTAATGGTGTGTGAAGATTGCTATCTTCTTGGTTATTGTGCCATGTAATATGGTGGGTTTCCACCAACGTTTCAGAGGTCATACTGCCTCCGTCATCAGGGCGATGAATGTGAAACGGTGGAAATCTACCAGACTACATGGCGCAATAACCCAGAAGACAGCAATCTTCAGACTAACCGCTGTGAAAACCTGAAATCCTACATGTAATGGTGTGTGTTAGAGTAAGCATTTCCTTAATGAAAATGATGTGCTATCATTTTGTTATTAGTTTTTCAGCTTTAAATCAACTTGAAATGTTGTTTGTTAGCACAGACAACTGATTTCTTAATATAGTGACTGTCACACACAGCCCTCAAATCTGGAAATAATGCATACTTTATTACTGTCTTAATATCATTAATGATAAAATTGTGATCTTTCTTGGAATGAGTAAACAGTGTCAGGTCAAGAGCGTAATGTTGTAACAGTTGTTGTCAGGCACTTATAAATATTTCTGTGTTGGCAGCACAAAATTAAACCTCTTGACATAGTGTTACAAATTCCCCACACTTTGTACGCATAACAGTATACAAATGTGAGAGGGATCAATCACAGTTCTAAAATATATTACCTTTTTTCATTCAAGTGCAAAACTCTATGTAAGAAAGAACAAATTAGTTGTGTAGAATGCTTAATGATGGGATAGAAAACTATAATAAAAGAACAATTGAATATTTCATTATTCATACCATAATTGGCAATTATGAAAAGTATAATGGAATGTTGAGGCATACCTAGCAATTAACTTTGCAAAGTAAAGTCCAAATTTAGCAATATCATGGATGTCTGAGTATATTGGATGGCTATGTGATGCACAGGCTTGAACTGCTAAGCCAATCAGATGGTGCTGAGGGGTTAAATACTTGATTGATTTGAATATGTGCAAATATAACCTAGTTTTTTGGTATCTACTTTGAGAAGAATTTGTACTTTGTATTCAGTCAAATACAGAATTATAGTATGTAAAATGGTAGTACATCACATAAAAGCTGGGTAACATGCAACCACTTGTGGAAGGAGATACATATTTTTGTGAAGTATGTAGTACCATTGCTTGACCCTATCTGAAAATGTATTTTTAAACCATACTTAAAATGTAATGCTTTTAATTCATATGCATCTTTTGGTAATTATCTATCATTAAAAGTAACTATTATAATACTAGTAATACAAATAATATTACACCAATGAAAGCCAAAGATTGAACATCATGGAACTTAGATTGTTGGCCTAACATTTGTTTAACAGTCTTTCCTAAAACTCAGAGATATAAACTTTAAACTTCCAATTTATATTTTTGAAAGACATATGTGAAGTATTAGAATGAGACTTATCGTAGATGACAAGCTGTAAGCATAGGTACATTGAATGCACAAGCAGTGATGTGTGGTCTTGTGAAAAACTACAGAGTTCAGTCATACATGTTGTATCAAATATCAACATTGTTTCAAAGTAGTTAGCAATCGCTTTGAAATAAAGTGACTGACAAAAAGTTACCTCATATTTAATAGTACTTGACCATGGGGCACTGGAAGATGCTCATCTTTTCTTTAAGTGCATGTACATGCAGACAAAGGATGGGAAATTATTTTTACTCAGGCTCCAATGTGACTGTTTTCATATGTTAAGAGCTTTGCGAGAAATAGTCCTCAGTTTTTTGCACTGACTGATTGTAGAACTGAACTGAAGACCCGAAGTCTCAAATGACTGAACATACTTTATAGATATACCAGAAGATATAAAAAGTATAATTACTTGATTTGGACATGATATTGAGAACTGAATATAATGTTCTTCAGGTGCAAGACATGCATTGAATTCAATATGTAATGAGCCTCACTTGACTCTCATACTGAGTCATAGGTGTAGTAAATTAAAATAGTAAATGTGTATGCAAAATGTAAAAACCTTCATTCTGTTGAAATCCAAAATTTTGTTTTTTGCAATACATTGTCTGTATTGTGTATGAGAAATTAAAAACTTATAATGAGCTGTACAATTAACCCCTTGTGTTGGCATTCAAATGAGACACTGCTGTGCATGGTGAGATCATTTATATTTGCAGTGAACTGTGCTGTAAGTGGAGATTAATAATAATTTTCTTAAAAATTTCTGAATGTGGAACAATGAATGTAATTCATAAGTGGGTGACTTTAAAATTCAAGGTCATGCCACCTTTTTGTGACATCCTAAAGTAATTGACCTAGGTTAGTTGAAGAGTGGTCATGCTATGCAGAATGACCATTTTATGTTATCATACTGACTTGGTTTTCCAGTGCAAGGGGTTAATAATATCTTAACATCAGTATGAGCCTAAATTTGATTTTCTTGTCCCATATGTGCACCACTGGGAACCAACGCTTGGAAATAAGGGTGTCTTTTCAAACTCTCATAGTGCTTTCACTGATTTATTGGGGCAAAAACAGATTCTGATTTTAAATTTAAAAAAATTGTTCAGTGCCGGTGATGAAATCTGAGAATGACTACTGTACTATTTCAAGGTCACATCACTGTTTGGTTGGTTCTGGAACTATCACCATGTGCCAAACCAGGAGCTTCATTGTGTGGCCTACAAACCATATCATAACATATACAAGTGCCTGTAGGATTGCCATTGTATTATATATTGTAAGGTTGTGGCATTTGCTTTTATTGGTGTGGATAATCAGCTTCTGTGGGCAGCAGGATTACTGCTCATTGTATCATAAGACAACTGGTATGGCGAGACCTTGGTCAAGTTGACGAGCTTGTTCTGGCTTTGTTATTACATTTGCAGTGTTTTTCAACATCTAGTACTTCAGTCATAAATCTGTGTGATTATTGGGTGACAGTTTGCTGTCTCATTATAATTTAACTTTCTTGCTGCTTTTCATGTATGATAAATATGATACACACACATGTATTTTGTTTTTAACCCTTTCCATTCTGAGTTTACTTTTATGTAAATTCATTAATGTTTGTATGTTTCCATGATTGTACATAATTTCCACTTGGGTCAACATTATAAATATTCAGAGCAGGTATAGCTGTTCTTCTAAGAGAGCTCATTCATAGCATGGAAAGGATTAAAAGTATTTTCTTTATCTTGTTAAACATGCTATGTAAACTTCATTGAGAAATAGTCAGGTTTCATTTAAGTAATGAGGTTGGTTCCTACTGCAAACATTTTATTGAATTCTGTGGCTAAATTAGCAGGATGATCTAGAAGACAGTGGTGATTTTTCAGCTGATAAATCTCATAATACTGGTATTTGTCAGGGCATGACAAATAATTGTTTCACTTTCTTACTTTGTTTACTAGAAGCATTTTTTTAACTTGGTGAATTTTTTGAATTTCAAATATTGTACTATAAACTAAATGGGATAGCCTGAATTAGCAGGGGAGGTAGAACCAATGTCAATAAGAAAAGGTTTCGCTGTACCAAGATCAGTATTACCAATGTATTTCATGGTTGTGAAGGTTGGCAGCTCATAATAACATTCCACTCAAATGTATGTTACAGTTTTGGACACTTTTGTCCATTCTTGTTGGTTTATTAGTGATTACTCTGTATTATATATTTTTACTGTTTTTGCTTTTTTTTTATAGTGCATTGGTTGTACTGGATTTTGATTGAGTGTAAATAGTTGGAGATCATGTTATTGTTCGAATGTCTTCCAACAAATTTCTGTAAATGTATATGGTCATATTTGGGATGTCTAGTGTTCTCCCCAGAGATGCTTGATAAGTGAATTAATATATTTTCATAGACTGAATAGTTCTATGTAACTGAAGATAGACTGGAGAAAAATGACAGGTTATTACAGATTCAATATTAACCCTTAGTGCAAGTCTCCAGTGGGTGTATGTGAATGTGTTCGTTCATATGTGTATGTATGTATGTGGAAATAAAGACATTAAGTTATTGGGAGCATCTGTATTGGGGTCAGTGAATCAATGTCCTGCTCATTGTATGCTATTTTCCGTATGTTAATGTAGCCATCATTAGTAATCTGTTATGCACCTTTTGTTTTCAACCATGCTCTTTCATAAATAGTACAATGTTTCATAAATTATTAGACTACATGGTAAGCTGTTCTGCCAACTATGTTATTAAAGTAAAGTTAAATGTATAGCCTTTATTGCCATGTTTGGCCTATCAGTTTCTCAATTCTGATTCTCATTTGTATGTTACTGAATCTCATATAGAAGAGCTTGTTTTGCAGTGAACTTATCACCATTGTTCATCCTACTGTCTTTTGTATGTTTTCCCTCGCTTTGTTTCTGCAACTTGTCCTTGGTCTTCTCAGTGTTTTTTTATTTTTTTTATGCTCTTAATAATCTTGTCTAATGCACATATCTTTGTATGAATGTTCATAATTTCATTGACTTTTCATGTGGTGTTTCTACTTTCAAAACTTGCTTAGTGTCCTGATTTTGGATTGTAAACCTTGTTAATTCCTAAATACTTTGTAGATACTTCATCTGTGCTTGTAGTTTATCTGCATATCTTTTACACCATGTCATTTCTTTTCCATATGCTGAAATGGGCAGTAATGTTTTTTGTAAAACTTTTTTTTTAATTTCCAATTTTCAGATTGTCTCTAACAGCCTCTTGAATATATGGGTGTGGTTGCCACTACAGTTCCTCAAACATTTTCATAACAATGGACTGGATGTGGTGACACATTCCATGGCCACTTAGATCTCTGGATTTCCCTCCAATGGACTCTCCTTTTGGGGATTTGTTAAAGGCAAGGTCTGAATACCACCAATGCCATGAAATCTGAAGAGCTCTGAGGCAGTAATTTGACATACCACTGCTCTGAACAATCATAGCATTTTAAATAAAGTTTGACAAAGTGGGGTGTGTCACATTATTGGGGGAAACTGTATGTTGCACTTAGGGGTGATAATATGGAAATGGTTCTTAGCGAAATATACGTGGTTAAGGAAGAGGGTGGAACAGGCTTAGGATTGTTTGATTTTAACATGTTTGAACCTTCAGGTTCAGTTACAGAGGGTTAACCTCCCTCCCACAAATACTGTATCCTGTATCTTAACCTTTATTTAACTTCCAGTATGATGAAGTACATGCCTGGTAATCATCAAATGCATGGGTGTATCATCTGTAGTGATCAGTCCTTCAAACTGAATTGCATGCTGGGGAGAGCATTGTCAGTATCATGCTGATGAAGCATGTTCATTTTCCTGTTGTTTGTCCATGACCAACTACAATTTTGAACATAAATTGTTTATTAAGAATGTCCATACATACCATTAAGAATGTTTTCTTAAAAAAATATGCATTTAATTCTGGTATTGTAACTGTGAAGTATTACATGATGTAATGATATAATATACAAGAATACCTTATAACTGATACCTCTTTTATTTCAACCTGACCAAACACTGTGTTCAGCACAAGTTACACAGATCTGTGCTTTCATATATTTGTCATCCACCTTCAGAAATTATTTTTTCTTGGATAAAATGCTGCTATGGGTTATGCAACCATAATATTTTTGTCTGTGGAACACTTTATCACAAAAGTACTGATGGAATCAATCTGAAAAGTTATAGAAAGACATAACATGATTTTGGTACACAAAACAAATTAAATGGAAGAGTTTCTCACTGTCATAAGTTACTGAGAAAAATATCACAAATTCTAAAAATACTGGCAGTGATTTTACAGAGGGTGGATTCTCTTGGTAGGTGCAGCATCGAGTATTATGTAAAGAAACGCCACTAGAGATGTTGATCTATAGAACTAAAAACTTCTTTTGTGATTGCGCGGTTCCAAAAAACAACATGCTTTGTTAATGCTGTGAGTATTTAACTACTGTGCTGTGAGCAATTGTAAATATAATTAAGAATACCAAAGAACTGGGAAACATCTTACTGTTGAGCATTTAATGGGTTACATGTGAATCACAACAAACTTTAAATTTAAATACAAATTAAACCTAAGTTAAAAAAATTCTCAAGAAAAACCACTGCTAAATATATCACTGATTTTGCTAAAGAATACTGTATGTGTTTCTAATAGTAGGCCTAATTTAGTATAATTAATGAATTGCCATGACATTTCAGTAAACTTTCCTTTATAATTTGATAGCCTGTGAGTTGATATCTGGAATTTCGAGCCTATAGCCTCATTATGCTGCGTGTATACCTTAAACATTTAGAAAAGTTAAGTCACCTTGACAAACTGGATCATGTATTGAGTTTCTAAGATCAATACCATACTCAGGTCTAAAAATATTAGAATCTATAATTGCATTATAATATTAATTAATGTCATAAATGTAATACACTATGCCCTTATCTTCACTTTCAATAGAATGAATATAAAGGTTTGGCAAAACTACCAGTTCTTGTTTATAAACATCTAATAAAGCAATTCAGTTGTATTGGAACTAACTAGACATTTTATTTATACAATTGTTAAGTATAAATCAAACATAATTTTAATTAAAACAGACTCCAGTATTACAATTTGATAGTTAAACATTCTTAACACAAAATGTCTAAATCCCATCCTTATATTATTCAGTCTAATCATTAACATGACATACTTATTTTATCTATGCTTTAATCTTCCATAATATAAATTCCAAGAAGTAGAGTCTATAAGGTGATGGTTGCTCAGCTGATTAACAAATTTCCTGCCTTTTATGGAGCCTGAATGTTCACTACCATGTTCAAGAGCCTGCTACTGATACCTGTTCTAAGCCATATGAATCCAGTCCATATCCTAACACTATTTTGTAATATCCATTTTAATACTGTCTTTCCATCCCACGTAGAACTCTAAAATGGTCTCTTCCTTTCAAGTTTTCTTCCCAACATTTTGCATGCATTTCTAATGCACTTATTCATGTCATCCTTGGTCTGATAACGTTAATAATATGTATTTTGACAACAATAAAAATTATGCTCATCATATAATTTTATTGTACTTCATGTCTCATCACAATTCCGCTTTAAAATTATGTGTTCGTTCACTTTATCTGAACAAAATTTCCAATCAATCAACACATAACTTATAAAATAATGTGATTTCACCCTGGCTATGGCCTTTCCTCAATTTCAACATACTCTACATAACCAATTAGAAATTACAAAATTCTATATGCATAATCTCTCTAAGTAAATAAATCAAAGCATCTGAGTATAACAGTTCACCTTTGCTGCCTATTAAGTGACTAGAACAAATGAAGACAGGGTAACTATATGTCCATCACAGTATAACCCACCTTTCTTAGGTGAAGACTAATAAATAGACCAACAAGAACTTTGTTTGAACTGGTCAAGACTCGCACATTACAGCCAAACACCAATTCAATATTTCTACTTGTTTAACATGCAAGTATCATCATTGTCAATTCATTATAAACACAAAGCACAAGTTAGACTACACAAGCAAATGAATTACAAAAAGTCTTACATGTCAATCACAATATCACAACACAAAGTGTCAATAGGTTCTTGTCATAGTCCATATAGGTTGTCCTGAATTCCCTTGGCTTGCACATGTAATTACTCGATAGCCAAAAAAGTACTCCAACTGATTCATAACATAGGCTGCTGAATTGTAGAACGTCAATTCATCCTTCTCAGTATTTTTGGGGCCTGGCCGAAGTTTTGCACTAATTTTCTCTGCTTCGTGCAATGACAAGCCATACACTTTTGTATTTGCCATACCAAGGCTGCCTCTCACTACCACATATGGCATGATTTTTTATGCTAAAATGGGCAAATCCAGAAGAACTAAAATGGTTTCCTGAAAAGAGAAAGCATTTTGAAAATTTTAGAAATATTTGAAAGTACGTCTACAATTTATTAGTTATCATTGAAGAAACACTGATATTTCCTCACTGTAGCTATAATGCAGTACGTTTACTAATAAAATCTTCTCGGGCTATAAGCCATAGCAGATGATTAAAATATGCCGCGGTTTCGAGGACCACCTCTGTCTTCATTCTTAGGGTTACTCATGAGTAGTCCTGAGGCAAGTTTTAATCATCTGACACGGTTGATAGCCCAAAGATAATGATAGCCACCGTGAAAGCTTCACATTATACAGTATGTTTACATCTGGATTAATTGGTTTTCACGGGGAGGTTATGTACAGTTATACGTAACTTCCTAACCAGTATTCCTTATGTTTGTTGATACAGTTACCTTTGTTAATAAATATTATTAACAATAGCCGGTACGAAACGTATTTTTTTTACGATTTACTGATCGAAGCTCGCATTACGCCTATTACTGCCATCATTCGAATTGTACCAATTTGCATTGGCCGGCTGAAATTGGATACAGTATATTTCTCTGAGATGTTAGTATCTACCCACAAATCCACACAGAGTAAGAACCCAGACAATAATGTGTAGTTAAACAACTTGATGACGCTTCGACTATACTCACATGTCATTAGGTCTGGGGCATATAGTATAATCCACAGATAATATCAGTATAAATTGTTGCGTATAGTTTTTCTGTGCTCGGCTCAAGTGTTAACCGCTCGTTCTCAACGAGTGTTTTGAAATATTCAATAGACATATAATTATAAATATGAACGCGTGTATGGTTGTAAATTTACGATTCCTCCGTCATAGTTCTTCAGAATGCATACTGTGTACTGCATTAGAAATTTTGAAATTATTGCTTCTGCTGTAATTTTTCCTTGCTGGTGGTTGTGATTGTGAAAGATGTCAGCCGAAGCGTCGAGCAAACAAGGGAAGTCTGCTGCTGAAGTAATTCAACAGATAAATGCTAAAAATGCTAAGCTTTTAGCTCTAGCACTAGTGGCGGGTTTTGTTATATATCATGGAATGCTACATTTGAAATACGGTAAGCAGGCACTTTTAATTTATACTTTGTATACCTAACCTCACTTCAGTCCCTCCATGAGATAGTGACTGTAAAAAGTTGACAGTGGAACCACGGTTCCGGAGAATCTCTGTAATGTAATGTAATAATTCTTATATAAGATAAGTACTTGTGATATTCTAAAACGTTTTTACCAGCACAAAATTATCTAGTCCACGACGCACTTCTTCTACAACCGATTCACAGCTCAGTTCTTTCCGCAATAACGAAAGCTGAATGTTGACAGCAGTAATGTAATACCTATTCAGGATGGGGTATCGTAAATCACGGAGTGCCACAAGGCTCAGTTCTTGGACCCTTACTTTTCCTCATATATATAAATGACCTGCCGGCAACTATAAACTCTATATCCAAACCTATTATTTTTGCTGATGATACAAGCATCATTATTGCACACCAAGAATTGATCTATCTTGAAAATATCATGAATGATGTCTTTGCCAACATAAACAAATGGTTTAGAGCTAACAAACTGGCACTAAATTTTGAAAAAACAAACTTCATAAAATTTGTTACTAAGCACAAGACATATCCTAG